TATCAGACAGAGCCTATTTTTGAGTTCATTCAGGTCAGAGTTGTTCAAAATGGCTGGTACTAAATTGAAGTATAACACTGCCTATCACCCTCAGACTGATGGACAGACTGAGGTAGTCAACAGGTGCATAGAGACATATACTTGAGGTGCACAACTGGACAGAAACCTAAGCAATGGGCTAAATGTCTACCTTGAGCAGAGAGTACCGCTATAACACTAATGATAATGTGTCCATTTAAAACACCCCTTTTAAGGCTCTCTATGGGCAGGATCCTCCAACCTTGATAAGAGGAGATGTTACCTTAACATCATTGGAGGCAAGGTTTTTAAAATCGAATTTTTAGATTGAATTGGTATAAGTATCTAAAAGAGAAAGTACCCAAAATAGGACTAAGAACGTTTGTATATTTCAAAATAGGATTATCATGTTTTTATTCCCAAAATAGGACTAATTACTGCCATGTTTTGGCAGTACCAGACTTTAAACATGACAACATTTTCCAAAGTTGGCAGTAATTACTCCTATTTTGGGAATAGAAACATGACAATCCTATTTTGAAATTTTCAAACTTTTTTACCCCTATTTCGGGAATTTTCCCTATTTAAAAATAGAATTGGAGAATCAAATCGTAAATCGTAAGATTTTACATTTTTTTAAAAAGTATTAGATAAAAGGAACTCACAACTTAACATTAACAAATCAGATCATTATAAGTTCAAGTCTAATGATAATTTCTTAAGTACAGTTTACAAAATAGTTACTCCGTAATACGTAACAAAATAATGTTATGTAATCAAAAAACAAAAGTCACTCAATAAATAGATACATGATGTTTTAATCAAATTTCAAAATAAATACTATCGTATACGAATAGTAAGAATACATAAGCACTACTTGAAATATTTTTTCGAAGAAAATAATATATGTATTTATACTCTTAGTAGCTCTATTGTAAACAATCGTTTGTCAAGTACTTGATAAAGCAAATTCGTTTTAATGAACTCACGCAAATTCAAAAGCTGGCCAAAGGGAAATTTTTAGTTTAGAAAATTACTTCACATCTTATATTCTCTGTTTGTAACTTTCCCACACAGGAATTGTTATAGCAATTTCCCATCTCTTTCTCTTATATAAAGCTCGCCATCAACATGGCTTGTAACTAACACATCACAAGGCGTGTTCGATGGCCAGAGGAATTTGGGCTGTATTTTGATCAAAGCTTTCCGATACAGGCTTTTAAATGGTCTGAATAAATTTGGCCGCGTTTGGCTGTGCTGAATACATATTTTAAAATCGTAAAATTTGGAAAAATCTTGATTTTAATGATTTTTCTGATTTTAGAACGATTTTATACAATTTCTTAGGATTCCGATTTTATATGCGACTCGGATCAGTGTGATACCATTGAATCATAAAATTGTACGATTTTACGATTCAAATTGCGATTTTGACAACCCTGATTGGAGGAATTGACCAAGTTAACTGCTGAAAGGAATATGATTGTTAAAGTATAAACTAGAATGACAATGAACATGGAGAGAAGGATTTTATGTGTATTTCATTGGAGGGTTAAGTCCCTATATATACATTACAAAGATAGAATATTCCTATAAGATTCTATACAATAATAATATCCAAGAGTATATTCCAAAAATATTCTAAAGCATATTCTAAAGATAGAAGAATATTCTAAAGCATATTATAAAGTATATTCTAAAGTATATTCTAATGTCTTTCACACCCCCCCTCAAGTTGGAGCATAGATATTTATCATGCCCAACTTGTTACATAAATAACCAACACGAATTCCATTTAGTGCTTTAGTGAACAAATCTCCAAGTTGCTCTCTAGTTTTCACATATCCTGTAGAGATCAATCCTTGTTGTATCCTTTATGGAACAAAGTGACAATCGACCTCAATATGTTTTGTTCTCTCATAAAACACTGGGTTGTTGGCAATGTGTATAGCAGCTTGGTTATCACACCAGAGTTTAGCAGGCATTGATGTCTTCAATCCGATTTCACTCAATAAATAGTTTATCCAGATTATCTCACATGCCGATTGTGCCATAGCCCGATATTCTGATTCAACACTCGAACGAGAAACCACATTCTACTTTTTACTTTTCCAAGAGACGAGATTACCACCAACAAAGACGCAATAGCCAGATGTGGATCTTCTATCATCTTTAGATCCAGCCCAATGAGCATCTGCAAAGCATTCTATTCTCATGTGATTATGATTTTGATAAACAATACCTCGTCCTGGTGTCCCCTTCAAGTAACATAATATATGCTCTACAGCATTCCAATGATCAACTGTCGGAGATGACATATATTGACTTACTACACTCACTTAGTACGCAATATCTGGACGGGTAACTGCGAGATAGTTAAGCTTTCCAACCAACCTTCTATATCTTTCCGGATCTTCAAATGGCACGCCTTCATGAGTGAGTTGCACATTGGGAATCATGGGAGTATTGCTCGGTTTTGCCCCCAATTTCCTTGTTTCAGTTAGCAAGTCAAGCACATATTTACGTTGAGATAGAAATATGCCTTTCTTACTCCGTGTAACCTCAATCCCCAAGAAGTATTTCAATGAGCCCAAATCTTTTGTCTGGAATTGACTATGAAGAAAATTCTTAAGGGCCAAAATACCTGCATTATCACTCCCTGTAATCACAATATCATCAACATACACCATAAGCAATGTGATACCTGCTTTCGTTCGTCTCTAAAATACAGAGTGACCCGATTTGCCTTTGATCATTCCAAACCGTTCAATTGATTGACTGAATTTCCCGAACCATGCACGGGGACTCTGTTTCAAACCATAAAGACACTTGCGAAGTCGACAGACTTTTCCATACCCCCCGAGCAACAAACCCCGGAGGTTGCTCAATATAAACTTCCTCCTGAAGATCACCGTGCAAGAATGCATTCTTAATGTCCAACTGATGTAAGTGCCAACCATGAGTTGCAGCGAGAGAAATAAGTAACTTGACAGATGTTAATTTAGCTACCGGAGAAAAAGTGTCAGAATAATCAACACCATAGGTTTGAGCATAACCCTTCGCAACTAATCGGGCTTTCAACCGAGCAACAGATCCGTCTGGGTTAACCTTAACAACAAAGACCCACTTATATCCAATAGACATTTTCCGTGTAGGCAAGTCTACCAAATCCCAAGTACCATTAAGATTCAAAGCATTCATTTCCTCTATCATGGCATGACACCATTCAGGATGAGACAAAGCCTGTTTAACAGATTTGGGAACAGAAATAGAATCAATGGAAGCAATAAAAGAACATGAGGCAGGGGATAACTTACTATACGACACAAATGAAGAAATAGGATGAGTACAAGACCGTGTACCCTTACGTAGTGCTATTGGGAGGTTAAGATCTGATGCAGAGACAAGATCTGATGATGCAGGTACTGGTTCAGGACATAAGATCGAAGTCGGACTAGTATCAGGATAAATAATCACAGGTGTCGCCGGTGGAGGGTGATCAGGTGCTTTGTGTCGACGGGTGTATACCAATTGTACAGGAGGCCTAGGGTCAGGAACAGTAACTTGTGGAATACTTGTCGAAAGTGTGGACGCGGGAATAGTCATCGTGTAAATGAGTATATCATCATTATTCTCATGAATATCTGCCTTAGATGATGAAAAAGGTGTATTTTCATGAAGAATATTCCAAAAATATTCTAAAGCATATTCTAAAGATCGAAGAATATTCTAAAGCATATTATAAAGTATATTCTAAAGTATATTCTAATGTCTTTCACAATGATTGTGGAAGAGTTGAAGTCTAACTTGGCCATAGCTCAGAACAGGATGAAACAACAAGCAGACAAACACAGACAAACCTCCAGATTCAGCTCTCTTCTGTATTTGTCTCTGAGAGATCTGGATCTGGAGGTAGGTGATAAAGTGTATTTGAAGATCTAACCCTATAAACTCAGAAGTGTAGCTAATAGGATAAATCAGAAGTCTAGTCCCAAGTTCTATGGGCCTTTTGAGGTGATTGAAAAGGTGAATCCAGTAGCATTCAAAACTGAAACTTTGAGAAGAATGTGCTGTGCATCCAGTGTTTCATATATCACTCCTGAAGAAGTCAGTTTTTTCTCACACAACTTGTCAACCGCTACCCCAGTGTTTATATGAAGAATGGGAGTTACAGGATACCCCAGAAAAGGTGTTGGGAACCAGGACTAGTCCAACAGGCCAACATGGGATAAAGAGCTATTGATACATAGGAAACAACTACCTGAATTTGAAAATTCATGGGAATCTATAAAGAATTTAAAAGAGCAGTTTCCTGCACGTCACCTTGAGGACAAGGTGGAAGTTCAGGGGGGAGTGATGATAGAGACCAGGACAGAAGAAGCGAGAGGAAGGGAGATAATAATCATACTAATATTCAAGAAAGAGGGGGAGGGGGAGGAGTTTTAAGTTTTAACTAATTAGCCGAGTGGGCATCTGTGTAAGGGGGACTATTAATAGAAAGTGGAGAGGAGTGAGAAGGTAGGCAGATATTCTGTTAGTGGAACTGGGAGAGAGAGGCACTCTCAAACTTGTCTCATTGTTCTTTCTTATTTGTCTGCCATTGCTATACCTTCCGAGTTCTGATATTTCATCAGAATTCTTATCTAATATACTCTATCTTACATTAGAGTCTGGACTCTGGAGTTTCTATCATTGGGTTACATGAATGTACAGTTATGAGGTGTATCGTGTGGTTCAGAACTGAACACATATTGTCTTTCCTAATACCATATTGAAGTACTCTGTAATATTCATGTATCACCCTGTAATAACGTAATAAAAAGTTTAAAACGTTAGTAAGAATCACATGCATAGTCTTGTATATATATACTATTTGCATTTATTTATCGTCAACATCATTTGACAGAAATTATTGAAATTTTAATAACCAAATGTGTCCTATTTGTCCCTGATTAACATCTATACTTTTGAAAAATAATTAGAAGGCGTCTAAAAGATCAGGAGGAGAAAGGACCGAGTAGAAAACCTATCATTCTCTCAGTAGAGGTACGTCCTTCACTCAATTTTTTAGGCCTGGTTGGCACAAATAATGTTCTATGATTTGTGTTCTATGAAATTTTTAATGTTGTGCAATTTTTAATGTTGTGTAACAGTGTAAACAATTTATTTTATACTTCAGGGCAGAGGATATAATGTGGAGGTTTTTTATGCTGACAATCCTGTTCCTGATTATGTCCAAGCTGCTGTTTCAACTGTGTTGTCAATCCATGATCATGTAAGCATGAACACACATAATTGTATTTGTAAGCATATGCCCCCTGCTTCTTGGATTACTCTAGTGTGCTATTCTTTTCTAAGCACTGCTCGAGTTAACCTTTTGTTTCATTGAGAATCTTATAAGCCTCCCCACCCCCGTGCCACCCAAATACATTTAGTGTGCAGGATAAGAATACTTGGATGAGTTTCTGTTGAAGACAATGTTTCCAGTATGTTTGACTCTTCTCTTTCCTGTCTTGACTTTTCATTTCTTTAACTCTAGGAGCCAATGGGAGATATCTTGTTGTTCCTTACTGGTCAAGATGAAATTGAAACTGCAGTTCAGATGCTTACAGATGAAACCCAAAGTAAACAGAAACAAGGTGCATTTTTCTAAATACTGCAGTTAAGATTTTCTGTGTTCCTCAAAGGTCAAACCCTTACCAATATTCTTTCACTAAATTAGCTTTGCAACAATGTTCATAGGATTTTATTCCTTCCTTGTTATTTTGTTCTATGTTTTAATGCACTTGCTTTGAAGCATAACTTCAACATTTTGCCTTAATTTGCTATTTTTTTTTTCTTTTCAACACTTATACATTTGGTTTCTGCTCATGGTTTGTTAATGGAAAGTTTCCGATGTAATTTTCATGTCCAGCCACAGAGCCATGTCCCCTCATAGGAACATACAAAAAACTGTCCCACTGACCAGTATTTTGCTATACCCTGAATACTTTTTATAAAGGTCTAGCAACAAAAAATCAAGAATTCTGATCCCGTTTTCTCTTTTTAGTTGCTATTGATGGTTTAACTCAAAAAACGATGGAGTTTGAGATAATTGGATAACGTGTTGAAGTTAATAACATTTATTACTCATTAAGTCATTGCTATCATATGTCGATTGTCATATGTCGATACATGTTAGCAGACCCCAAACTCTTTTGGAATTAAGGCTTGGATGTTGTTGTTGTTGTAAGTCATTGCTATCACTGTTATTTCACTTTAGTGCTCCCTGACAGCTTGGCCTATTTTACAACGATTTCTTGACAGGACTGGTTGTTGTACCACTATTCTCAGGTCTTTCACGAGCTGATCAGGTGGGAAACACTGCCTATTATTTAAAGCCTCGTAATGCCAAAATATGACAGAAAATTTTCAGGATGACAGTAATGTACTCCTATTTAGGGGAAAAACATTACTCCTAATTTAGAATTTTACCTTGTTTTTAATCTCAAGTTTTTTTAATACCAATATACCTAGTTGTATTCAATTCCCCTATGTTTTACCTTTTTGGGCAGGATATTGTGTTCTCTCCAACTCCCAGAGGAAAAAGGAAAGTGATAATATCAACAAATATTGCCGAGACTTCATTAACGTTGGAGGTATCAATTGTTTGATTCTGGGATGCACAGAAAAGTAGATGCGTTTATTCACCTTGAGTTTTGTTTATTATCCTTCATCCAGGGTATTGTTTATGTAGTTGATAGTGGGTTTTCAAAACAACGGTTCTACAATCCGGTATGAAACCCTACCTCCTGTAATTCCCAATTTTAATATTTGATTCTTCTTTTGTGCAATCAATACAGCATTTTGTCATTTGAACTTTGAAGCTCATAGTTATGATTATATGTGTTTTCTTTTTTAAGTATTCACAAATTAACTAGTAATGCCAATAAAGGTTGCTAAGAATCTCGTACATTTGAATTCGTATAAACAAACCCACTTTTGAAGAAGAGAGGCAGGCAATAGTTTTAAACAATTAGCAGCTTTGCTGGGGCAAGAATATGTTGCAGTGTGCCTTCTTGGCTCTTAGGAGAGTTTCTGAAGCTTTTTATTGTCTTTTCTTCTTCTTCTTCTTTCCATTGAATGAATTAACTGTATTTTCTGGAGCCCCTTTACTCTATCAGATCCTTTATTTAGTTAGTACAGGGCCTACTAAATGACTACACATTGTAGTTAACAAGTGCCATGACTTGTATGGTTCCATTTCAAAAGTATGTTCTCCCTGTACTAAAGTGTTCATGAGTTGCCTTATTTTGAAATGGTTATCTATTTCTCCTTATCTTTTTTGGAGGGGATGTGGGGTGGGGGCGAGAATGGTTATCAACTCACTGCTACCAGCATAATGCACATAAACTGAAAGGTGAATGCATATGCGGTTATGAAGAACAATGTTATCTGTATGATTTGCTGCCTGAGTAGCACGGAAACACAAAACAGGAAACACGAAACACGTGAAACAAGATTCTAAAAAATTTAGGATACACTCATACAGAACATGGGGAAACGTGTAATGGCGCAAGTATTGATATATATAAGGAAAACTGTTAAATAAGCCCCCATACTATCTTCAATTTGGAAACTAAACCCTGGTACCTAAAAAACACCCAATTGGACATGCCAACTCATAAAATAGTTCAATCCGCATTTTTAACAGGTAACTCTCGGGTTACTGGTAATCATTTCATATGTGTCATTTACATGGCTTTTAATTATATTTTTCTTTTATTTTATTTAATTCCACATCAATTATTTTTCTCTTTTCTTTTAATTCTTTGTTTTTCTTTGTCAGCCTTCTTCTTCTTCCACTGTTTCTTCTGCTTCTCGTCATCCCACACACCAACACTTCTCCTAAAAATACTGTAGCAACAAACAAGTGGCGGTGTGATAGACCACTGAAGACTCATTCCCGCAGGAAGAAACTGCTCCTGGGAAGCAGTTGACATTGTGGCTATTTTTCAGTCATTAGTGGAGGTGGTTATGGGCATAACCTGTAACCCACTACTCTATTGCTTTATAGTTATTATAAATACTTCCTGTTAGCTACGTACTAGATAGTTCAGAATTTATATGCATTATCATATTGTAAGGAGCCTTGTCCTCTCCACACGGACTAAAACATTTGGGAAATTTATTCAGATTCTGTGAATTTCTCAACCATCCTTCTCTATCCCTCTTTAATCTCGACTGGTCTTATCATTTTGGTATCAGAGCGGTTAGATCTTAATGGTTTCCACCAGGTCGCAGGCGGATCAACACAACCAATCAGCAAATTCCCCTGTTGAACCCAACCTCAATGTGATTCAACAGTTAACTTCGATTGCTTCACGATTGCAAACTCTTGACGCCTTAGCAGCTGATGTGGCAGCTCTCAAATCCCAACGTAGTGACGGCCAGCCTGGAGGGTCGGGCAGAAGCAAGGAGAAAGAAAGTCAAGCAGGATTCCATGAGAGAACACGAGTGCCGTGGGGGGATATCGCAGATGAAGAGATGCAGCCGGGGTGGCCACAAAACTTCACGCGCAGACCCTATGCGAAGGTGGATTTTCCAAAATTTGATGGTGGCGACCCGCGAGGTTGGATCCTCAAAGCAGAAAAATACTTTCGTTATTATCAGGTGCCGGACAATCAAAAAGTCGAAATCGCTTCCATGTCTTTGGAGGGTGAAGCTCTTGACGTGTTCGCATGGATGAACGGTGAGGAATCCATACTATATTGGGAAGAATTGGTGAAATTATTGCAAGAAAATTTTGGGCTAGCAGAATTCCAGAACCCAGATGAATATTTGTGTAATATCAGACAATCGGGTTCCATCCAAGAATACAGGCAAGAGTTTTCACGAAGGGTGTCCAGGGTCCACGATTGGCCTGAACACTGCCTTCTTGGGGTTTTTATTAATGGCCTGAAAGAAGACCTAAAAGCAGATGTCAGGATTCATAAGCCCAGGACTGTCTATCAGGCCATGAGTCTCGCACTACAGTTTGAATCCAAACTCGGCCCAAATAAAGGTCTAAGCAAACCACCTTACCTCTCAAACAACAGGCCAGGTCAATCCACACCTCTGACTCAGCATCGTGACACCAAAGCAGCGACACTTTCGCCACAAGGAGGTTATACTACAACAGCCGGCCACAGTGCGACAGCTGCCTCGGTAACGGCAAACCGATCTTGGGAATCAGAACGACAACTCCGACGCGACAAGGGGCTCTGTTTTCGGTGTAACGAAAAATTTGGCCCTGGGCATAGATGCAAGACTCCTACCTTTTCTCTCTTGGAGCTCACGGACAGCAGGGAGGAGGTGAAACAGGAAGAGGTTGGCAGTGAACTGAGTGGAGAAGAGAACCTGCACGACATGGCCGAAATATCTTTCCATGCTATTCTTGGAAAGTCGACAGGCGCCACCATGAAACTTCGGGGATCCCTCTTAAACAGGCAAGTCCTAATCCTCATTGATAGTGGTTCTACACATAATTTCATCTCAACATCACTGGTTGAGGAATTGGGGATCAAAGAAGAGGGGGTTTCGACTTTCGGCGTTGAGATCGAGAATGGAGATGTAATCAGGTGCAATAAAATCTGCCGTGATGTTTCGGTTACCTTACCGGGACTGAAGATTACGCAAGATTATTTCCCTTTCTCACTCGGAGGAGCAGATGTTGTTTTGGGGATAAAGTGGTTGGCTTCACTGAATACTGTGCAGGCCAATTGGAAGGAGATGTTTATGATTTTCTACCTAAATGGGAAGAGGTACAAACTGCAAGGGATTCCCTCTACCAGCAAACAAGAGGTATTACTCCAAATTCTCTCCAGGGTACAAATGGATTCTGGAAACACATCTGCCCCAACCCAGGTTCAGTCCCTTTTATCTGAATTTCAGGACATTTTTTGGGATGTTACCACTTTACCACCTTTTCGCACCCAAACTCATTCCATTCATCTATATCCAAATTCTGTTCCCCCAAATATTAGACCATACCGATACACTTCTGACCAGAAAACAGAGATTGATAACCATGTAGAGACCTTACTTCATTCAGCCCAGCACCAGCCCTTTTGCTAGCCCGACAATACTAGCATCTAAGAAAGATGGCACTACACGGTTCTGTGTGGATTACAGAAAATTGAACCAACAAACTGTCCCAACTAAGTATCCCATTCCCAATATTGATGACCTCTTGGATGAACTTCACGGGGCCACCATATTCTCGAAAATTGACTTGAAGTCTGGTTATTTCCATGTAAGTTTGAAGAATTAATCTTCCTTGTGTATTATTGAGCCATCCGGCAATGATATATATACAAGTTACAGATAAAGTTAAGTTGTTACAGATCCTAAAAAATAGGATCTATCTATTCTATCTAATCTGCGAGCTAATCTAAGAATTAGAGACCTATATCAACTCTAATTCCTATCTATACAGTCCCGGATGTACAAATAATAAAAATAACATGTATATGCTACATTTTTCTACACTCCCCCTCAAGTTGGTAAGTATATATCATACATTCCCAACTTGCTTATAAGAAATTCAAACACTGGTTTAAACAGTCCCTTTGTAAAGATATCAGCTGTTTGTTCTTTGGTAGATATGAATGGTGTGCACACAATTCCAGCTTCAATCTTCTCTTTGATAAAATGCCTGTCCACTTCAATGTGTTTAGTACGATCATGTAGCACAAGATTGTGAGCAATATTAATGGCTGCTTTATTGTCACAATATAACTTCATAGGTAGTTCCATTTCCATATTCAACTCTGACATCATTCTCTTAATCCAAAGTAGTTCACAGATTCCATTAGCCATAGATCTAAATTCAGATTCTGCACTACTTCTAGCAACTACATTCTGCTTCTTACTCCTCCAAGTCACCGGATTCCCCCATACATAAGTACAATACCCAGATGTAGACCTTCTATCAGTTATTGAACCAGCATAATCTGCATCTGTAAAGGCTTCTACACTTCTATTGTCACTTCTTTTAAAAAATAATCCTTTCCCTGGACAGCTTTTCAAATATCTTAGGATTCTGTAGGTAGCATCTAGATGTTCCTGGAATGGATTATGCATGAATTGGCTAACCATACTGACTGCAAAGGCAATATCTGGCCTTGTATGTGCTAGATAAATCAACCTTCCCACCAATCTTTGATATTGGTGAATATTAACTGGTACTCCTTCCTTGACATTTCCTAACTTTTGATTAGGGTCAATTGGAGTATCTATTGGTCTGCAGGCACTCATACCTGTTTCATGGAGTAGGTCTAGTACATACTTCCTCTGGGATACCACAATTCCCTTCTTTGATCTGGCTATCTCCATGCCAAGAAAGTACTTCAATTCTCCCAGGTCTTTGATCTCAAATTCCTGAGCAAGCTTCTTCTTCAGGTCTTCAATCTCTTTACAATAGTTTCCTGTAAGAATTATATCATCCACATAAACAATTGGTACTGCAATCTCTCCCTTAATGGAGAATTTCATGAATAGTGTATGGTCTGCTTGGGCTTGCTTGAATCCCTGCTTCTTTATGAATTGAGTAAACCTTTCAAACCAAGCCCTTGGGGACTGTTTAAGTCCATACAAGGCTTTCTCCAGCTTGCACACCTTTGAGCCATATTGTTCCTCAAACCCAGGAGGGGGGCTCATTTATACTTCCTCTTCAAGCTTCCCATTTAAGAAAGCATTCTTCACATCTAACTGTTGAAGAGGCCAGTCTAGGTTAGCAGCTAGAGATAGTAGGATCCTTATAGTATTTAATTTTGCAACTGGAGCAAAAGTTTCTGTATAATCTATGCCATAGGTTTGTGTGTATCCTTTGGCAACCAATCTGGCCTTATATCTTTCAAGTGTACTATCTGCCTTGAATTTAGGGGTAAATACCCATTTGCATCCCACTGTTGGTTTGTTTTTAGGTACTTCTACAGCCTGCCATGTCTGATTCTTTTCAAGAGCATTCATTTCTTCTAAAACAGCCTTCTTCCACTCAGGTATAGATAGAGCTTCCTGTATGGTTAAGGGAATAGAAACAGTGGAAAGACTAGAGGTAAAGGCTGCAAATGATGTAGATAACTGAGAATAGGACAGATAGTTTGAGATAGGGTATTTAACACATGATCTTTTTTCTTTTCTGAGAGCAATGGGTAGATTTAGATCACTGAAATTATTACCTTTGTCATTTTCTGACATTGAGTCAGATTCATGGGCAGTGGCAGGATTTAGGGATGTCCTCTATTCTTTGATTTGGAACTCTCCTTTCATAAACCTTGCCAAAAAACTTACTTGTCTGTTGTTCATCATCTTTCCTTGTTTCAGGAAAATTTATTTCATTTTCTTTTGACTCTTGACTATTTTCTAGTGCATCTAACTGTCTATTATATTGTGCATCTAGATTAATGTCAAGAGATTCAAGTTTTTCATGGATATGTGACACATTATCACCATCTTCATTAGGAATCTCCCCCTGCAGATGAGTACCAAAAAAAAGTTGATTTTCTACAAAAACAGTGTTCATAGTTATAAACATTTTTTTGTTATAGGGTCAAAACATTTATAGCCTTTCTGAGTTGAAGATAGTCCTAAGAAAACACATTTTTTGCCTCTAGGATCAAATTTGCTTGCAGTTCTGTCAGGGTTGGTAATAAAAAATGTGCAGCCAAAAATTTTTATGGGAAGAGAATTAATGAGCCTAGTTTCAGGAAAATTGGCTTGAAGAGTATCAATAGGAGTTTTAAATCCTAGAGTTTTTGATGGCATCCTATTAATTAAATAGGTAGCATGTAAAACATCTTCTCCCCATAAATATTTTGGAATTTTAGCAGAAAACATAATTGCACGAGTGACTTCAAGCAAATGTCTATTTTTCCTCTCAGCTATTCCATTCTGAGCAGGTGTATTTACACAGGAACTTTGATGAATAATTCCTTTTTCAGCAAAAAAATTATTTAACTTCTTAGAAAAATACTCAAGACCATTATCACTTCTCACAATTTTGATATTAGTGTTGAATTGAGTTTGGATCATTGAGTAAAATTTTTTGAACACTTCTTCAACCTCAGATTTTTCTTTAAGTAAAAACACCCATGTGACCCATGTGTGATCATCTATGATAGCTACAAACCACCTTTTTCCTTTCAGAGTTGGAACTCTAGATGCACCCCAAATATCACTGTGTACAATAGTAAAAGGACTAGTTGGCTTGTAACTATGAGGGATATAAGAACTCCTATGATGTTTGGCAAGTGCACACATATCACAGTGAAATGATGAAGGATTTTTATTATGAAATAACTTAGGAAACAACATTTTCAGATAAGAAAAACTTGGGTGACCTAATCTATAGTGCATTAAATACACTTCATTATTACAAGGAAAGAAAATAGTTTGCAAACAAGTTTTTTCTTGACCTTGTTTATTCAATTGTGTTCCTTCATCAAAAGTATAGCGGCCATCCTCCTCTCTAGCACTGCCAATCATCCTCCCTGATGCCAGATCCTGAAAAATGCAATAAGAGGGATAAAACTTTACACAACACTGAAGGTCTTTAGTTATTTTGCTAATAGAGATAAGATTGCAGGAAAGTTTTGGAACATGTAAGACTTTGGAAAGGTTAATGGATGAGGAAATTTTAATATTTCCCATCCCTGCTATGGCTGAAAAAGAGCCATCTGCAACTCTAACTTTCTTATCTCCTGCACAAGGTTGATAAGAAGAAAAAAACTTTGGAATGTAGGTCATGTGGTCTGTTGCACCTGAGTCAATGACCCAGGTGTTTTTTGGTTTTTCAGAACAAAAAAATGATGTTATTTTACCATTTTGGGCAAAAGAACAGGTAGGGTTTTCTTGGTTGGAGATTTTCTGGGTGGGTATGAATTTGAGTAGGTACTCTATCTGTTCCTGAGTGAATGGTAGCTGTTTAGATTCAACTCCTGACTCTTGTTGAGTCTCAGTCACAGTAGTTTGCAGAGCCCTCTCTACTTTCTTCTTTCCAGCTCCTGGTGGTTTTCCATGAAGTTTCCAGCATGTATCCCTTGTGTGCCACAATTTCTTGCGGTGATCACACCAAGGTTTTTTCTGGTTGTCATCACTTCTGGCCACCAAAGCTGAAGATTGCCCAGGTTCCTCATTAGGTATTGGAGTGTTGTACATGACCCTCCTCCTGCTATCTTCCAACCTGATCTCAGAAAAGACCTCTCTGATTGAGGCCAAGGGTTTCTTCCCCAGTATTCTGCCTTTTACTTCATCTAGGTCTCTATTCATTCCTGTTAGGAACATATAGACCCTGTCATTTTCCTCTCTCTTCTTGTGTCTTGCCAGATCCTTGGCACTTTCCCAGTCTTCAGCATCATAGCATTGGTCCAACTCTTGCCATAGAGATACCATCTCATTATAGTATGAGATAACATCTCTACTTCCTTGTTTGGACTGCCACAACCTTGTTTTTAATTCATAGATCTGAGAAGAATTCTCAAGATCTGAGTAGGTTTCTTTAATTGAATCCCATACCTCTTTTGCAGTTCTCATGAACATGTGAGGTTTGGCGATTGATGCATCCATTGAACTGAGAAGCCAGGCTGTTACCAAAGAGTTCTCTGACCTCCAGACATTGTTGCCATCTTCACCATTCTTCTTCTCCTCTACTTCACCCGTTATGTATCCCAACTTTCCTCTTCCATCTATTGCCAGTTTGACAGACTGTGACCACTCTAGGTAGTTGGTTCCATTCAATCTATGTCCAGTAATGAGCATAGATGAATTAACCGAGGCCTGGTAATTTGTCATTTGGCTAATTT